TAAATCACTATATAAATAAATTAATAAATTTAAGATAAATCAGCTCTTATGAGACATATGATGTATTTTGGTCTGTAGGGTATAGTGAGCTAATTTAATTATTTCATGTGTGGTGACAATGCATTGTGCATTTAGCTACAGTTTCACTAACCATCAGGAGAAATGTGTGCTTGTTTGTGTCACCCTTATACCCTCATATTTAATATATAAAAATTAATTTTTGTTTGTTCGTGTTTTATGTGCTGCCATACCGTTCATCAGATCGCGGTAAAACTTTGTCAACATATTGCTTGCACTTCCACGAAGGTTATAGGCACACTACAATTAACTTACACTAGGTGGCGCGCGTATCGTACCAAAAAAAATATATCATTCAATTTCAATTAATGTATTATCATTCCCATTTAAACAATATAACTAACTCTTCCAAATTTAAAACAATATTTCCACAATTATTTCTCCTGCGACCGCAACGCGCCGGGTACCAGCTAGTAAAGCACAAAAAAAAACAATTCTTCCGTAATCCCAATAATAAAAAAAAAACTTTACGACGTATCACTAAAGAGGATAAACAGATAGGCCGTGTCGTAACCCCGAAGAGGCGATGGAACGTAATTTTAAACGACACGTATTTAAAGTTTACTTTGCAGAAAACCAATATGAAGAGGTCGAATGGTGACATACATTTTTGTGTTACATCGAAGCTTGTTGACTTTGAGTACAGGCGCGAACAAAACTCTTTTGTATGAATGCTATTAAAAAGTTTACGTGGTAATATTTACGTTTGTACTTGGTAGAGACAAATTATGATTGTAGCATTAATGGGTCTTCTCGACTGGGAAAGGACCACGCCCTCACAGAATACCAGCGTAAAATATTAGTTTAATGCTGCTGTGTTTCGTATGGTGAGTGTAGAGAAATAGAGACTTTTTTACTGGACACAAAGCATTCCATCTTAGTCATCGGTGACAACGCATCTGCATAATGATTCTTTATTGAGGATATATATAGATTATAGATGTTTAGGGGCTACAGCAACTATTAACTATCGGGTGGACTGTGTTCTCGTTTATCACCCTTATTCTATAAAAAGTGAATCTTGAAATAGTTTAATTTTGTCATGCTCTTAAAAGCATTACTTTCAAAAATATTATTTATTAAAAAAATTAATTACATACATAATATTATTTATTTTAATTAAATTACTTCTCTACTTAAATGTACTCATACGCAACTGCAGTATGAGTGATGGACATGGTTGACCCGACGCGAGGGGGCCGTGTAGCCAGCGGGGATGCTGGTTCGATCACCGAGCCAATATTCGCGGCAGCTGGGAATGTGGTATTCCAGACTAAGAGTAACGCGACCCTGTCGAATATTTTATTATGACATAGATCGTACCATTTATTATCATGTCAGCGAAGTCGCCGATTTACTTTAGCGTCATGAAACAAAGTAACAAAATAAAATAACAAAACAAAGCAAAATGACATTGTTAATGAGAGGGACTTTGGTACAACATAATGTAAATGTTTTACGGGATTCCGTATTTAAAGTCCATTAACTTTTCTATAATATCCAGGCTTTGCTAGTTTCAATGTTTTTGCTTTTGTTCATACACTGATATAATAATGACAGTAGCAACCTTTAACGTCAACATTCGGGAAATTTTCACAACGGCTCTGTTAAGTTAAAACGAACAAAGTAATGAATAATAATCTTTAACATAAAACGGTATATCCAACGCAAAAAGAAGTTTTCACATTAAAATGCTGGTTAGTTCCTGACATTAGCGCGTTCAAACTCTTTACAGTTATTTACTATAATAGTATAAATTAAAAGTTGTTAATTTTTTAGAAGTTAAAACTATAGATATTTTTTGTCCAATATGTTCAACTTTCCTATATAATCAAATAGTTGAACTGATTGAGATAATTTGGTCTCATAAGCTCAACTAGTTGACCTTACGGTTGAACTAATGAGGGCATCCACGACTTTATCTGCCACCAGGGCGGCGCCACTTTACAGTGAGGTAAAATATTTGACAGATTTCATAGCGGGGACGATAATTTCTATTAGGAAAATGTAATCTGTAAGGTTTCTTTTTGTATTATTAGTTATATTTTATATTAAATACATTAGAAATTCATAAACCAAACTATAAATATAAATAAAAGCCGTTTTAAAAAAAAAGTTATAAAGTGCAAAAAATTAATAAATCAAGCAACTGACGCATTGTGTTGTGTATTAATATAATACTCCAGATAATGATAAACTATTATTTTAAACGAATTCATCAATTAACTGACACTGTGTAACAAAAAACTTTACCTCATTCACAACTAGCGACATCTGGTGAGTGGGAGATTATTAGCCCTCATTGGATCAGGCCTTTTGTCTCATTTCTTTATGACCTAAAAACATCAAAAGAAGCGTAGCGTTCCCATTTTATCGTAAATAATGTCTAGATACCATTACTTATTCAGTTCGAATACTACAATACACCACAGTTTATAATATTGAAATAGGAAAGCAAATTAACAGTTCATGTGAACGAATTCGCCGACACGTCTAGTTTACAATAAATCGATATCTCTGTAGAAAGTGCTTCCATAATTATTTTTAATAATCTTATTACATTACATAATTAATTCACAATGATTTGTGTCCCTGCGTTATTTTATTATAGTGAAAGTTGGGTGTGACATAAGAAGCTTGCGAGTAAAATAAATACTGTAGAAATGCGGTCTTTACGAAGTACCCTAGGGTGACTCTAAATGATAGTGTGAGAAATTGTGTGGTAAGGGAAAAGTATGCTTTGCTAGACAAGAAGTAGGTTTCAAAAGTCAATGGGCTGCAGTTGCCAATTACCATCAGGTGAACTGTTGGTTGATTAATCACTTCAACTATAGCATAATAAAATAACTTTTAATAAAAATGAAAAAAAATTCAATTATTGCTTTTTATTAAAATTTAAGTTTATAAGTTAACTATAGAATATCACAATTTCAAAGTCGTTCAAAACTTCCCTTAAAAACTTTATTCCCTATTTATCCGTTAATAGTGGATTTTTTCCATCCAAATTTATATAGGATCACCCCTAAAGTTATAGCCTATTTAATAAAAATCAAAATTATTTTTTCATTTATTTGTATATTTTTTTTACACTTTACACGTGGTAGAGCCATTATATTAATTTATACAATTGTAGAACGAATGGATCGGCTCGACCGGAAAAGGACCACACTCTCACAGAATACTAGCGTAAAATAGCAGCTTAACAGTGCCGTATGGTGAGCGTAGAGAACCGGAAACCCTTTTACTGGAAAATTGGCATTCCATCTTAGTCCTCACGAGTGACAACGCATCTGCATTTTGATTCTTTATTGAGAATAGATGTAGATGTCTATAGGTCACAGCAACCACATACCATCAGGTGGACTGTGTGCTCGTTTCTCACCCTATCCTATAAAAAATATCTTTGTCAAAATACTAAATATATACATACAAAAACATACAGTGAATTGTTGACCTCCTCCTTTTTTGAAGTTGAATAACAATGTTTTAAAACCGACCACTAAAAGAATATCATATTGTTTACGGTCGTGTATCGAATACATTACGTAATTATCTATGTAGAAAGAAACTGAGAGATAATAAATCATGATTTGCAATGAATAGCCTTTAGAAAAAATGTTTGACAATTAAGCACTGATTAGATGGTAATAGCTATTCTGATTTTCCGATTGCGAAAAATATCAGAACCTATACTGTTGTAGAACGACTTCGTTTATTGATAATGACTTTATTAATGGAATTCATCAATAGAATAATATTTACGTGGTAGATCCCACGGATGTTGCACGAATGGGTCGGCTCGACTGTGGTAGGACCACGCTCTTACAGAATAACAGCGTAAAACAGCAGAATAATATGCAACATACTAGTAACGAGACATTCCATCTTAGTCGTCACGGGTGACAACGCATCTGCATTTTGATTTTTAATCGAGGATAGATGTAGATGCCTATGGTCCACAGCATTTACTACCATCAGGTGGATTGTATGTTCGTTTGTCACCCTTTTTCTATAAAAAAATCAGGCATTACTTTGCTAAAATCGGTTATATGTTGCAGCGCTGTGCTTGGGTTGAAAATTAATTTATTTATTTTAACATCTTTAGCATATAGTAGCGCCCAGCCATCTTCTCTAGCCTCTTCAATAATCTCACGAATAATCCTTGATAGTTATCAGTGTTCTTTTGCGAAGATTTGTGGTTTATCAAATCAAATGTAATGACAGGGGCAACACATAACATATTCACAAACTGCAAACTTCCGAAAGCTTCGGTACTTTACATTAGTTGGATGGACTTTTTATGTGACCTAAGTTAGAGAGCTTGTACACTCCTGCATCTTGCAGAGAGGTCCGCTTCTATAAAAGTTAAAGTTACAGACTGTATTCTTTCATTTATTTCTAAGAGGGGTTTAGATCAATGAAATGTTCGCCGCGCTGCCCCTATACGTGTTGGCGAAATATATTTTTTTCTTATTTCTCAGTCACGATGTTTTCCTTCTTTACCAAGCACGTGGTAAAGCGGCACTAAAAATTGTAATTAACAATTTCATTCAGAATTGATTTCAAACAGATCCTCACCAGCATGGATCGAACCCCTCAATGTCGGGGATATAAAAATAGAATATAAAATAAGTTAATTAAACGCGATAAAATACGTTGTCATTACATTTCATTAAAGTCTAACTTATTAAGCTGAACATAGACCCCCCCCCCCCTTAACTTGCCTCTTATGGGGAATAACTGCCAACCGCAGCTTTTTCTTTGTTTCTATCTGTAGCCTGATTTGTATCCCTCTGTACCCTCTTACAACACCCACGTGACGATATGGGATAGTACGATTAAATCTTCATACTACGCTACGACACGGCAATTGGGCCCATATCCTTTATTATTGACTTTATCTTTCTTCTCTCTTGTTACAGAAGCAGTTCTGCAACACAAGGACTGAAACTTGCTGTAGAATAGGTTCTTTTACTTCACATTTTGGAAATGGTTTCTCAACTGCCGACACCGTAAGCCAAGGTTCAGGACTCGTCTCTAACACCGCTTCTAGCTTTTCTTCCGGATCATATGGATCGTCCAGTAATTCTCAAAAGGGATCATCCGGTTCTCAAAGCTCATTTGGATCACAGAACAGCTTCGGCACAAACGGAAACCAGGGATCATATGGAAGTCAGAGCGGATCGAATGGTGCTTCAAGTGGATTTGGAAGCCAGAGCTCATCTTTCAACAGCCAATCGAACTATGACTCAAACCGAGGCTCCTTTGGTACTAACTACGGATCAACTGTTCCTGCAGTAACAGCAGTCCCTGTTGGCTCAACAGGCGCTTTTGGATCAGTAAGCTCAGCTGCAACATCAGGATTTTTAGGATCAACCGGCTCAACTATACATCCAGAAATCTATAAGGCAACAGGACAAAGTAACTTCGTTGAGACGAACTCTTTCGCATCCCAATCTAATAACCAAAACGTATACAGACCCGGTACGGTTGGCAGTGGCCTAAAACCTGGTGTACCTTACCTACCACCTGTTGACAGCACTAACAGCGGCACTAACGTTGTTGGATCTACCGTTTACCCTTCCACTTTCACTACACCTCGTCCAGTGACCCAGTTCACAACCGTCCGTCCACAAACGCCTGCGCGTCCTGTGTCTACTCCTCGTCCATTCACCACTCCAAGACCGACTTACCTGCCTCCCGTATCATCATCTACCGCCGCCCCTGGTTACTTGCCACCAGTCGGTGAACAGACCATCAACCAGGAAACCTTCGTGCCCAACCCCAATTATAACGAAGGAGGAATTATTCTTGATGAGACAAGACAGCCGTCTACTCCACGCCAGCCTACTATAAGTAAGTATTACAGTGAGAGTCGAATATTATAAATTTCCGCGGTAATTTTTATGTGGTAAGAGTCGTTACCGTTACAGCCTATTAAAAGCCCAATGCTGAACATAGGCCTCCCCCATAGATTGTCTCGTAGGGGGGAGTAGTATTTGCTATAGTTTCTATGCTTAGCAAGCGAGTTGGCAACCGCAGTTTGTATAATTTTTGTCGTTATTAGGAAGACGCTGCTGCCAATTTTCTGATTTGTTTCCCTCTGTCGCCTCTTAGCACCTACGGGATGATATGGGGTAGTTGATATTCTTACACCGTCACTACACGGTAGAGCCGTGCTGCAGCTATATTATGGTTATAGCATGATGGGTCGGCTCGACCAGGGAAGGACCAAGAATGCTCTCACATAATACCGGCGCGAAATAACAGCTTGATGCTGCTGCGCCTTGTACGGTGAGTGTAGAGAACCAGAGACCTCTTTTACTGGAAACCAGGAGTCATCTTAGTTATTGATAAACGTATTATATTATTATAATTTTTTTTAATTTATAATAGATAACGGTGTAGGTTATAGCTCAAGTTCGGATGATAATACCAGAATATGATAAAAACATGGTATATTAAAAACAGTGTGTGTGTGTGTGTGTGTGTGTGTGTGTGTGTGTGTGTGTGTACTTATGTACGCACGTAGGAAGTTATACTTCTTTAGTGTAACAAAACAAAAAAAACATGAGAGATAATTACCCACTGAACTTGTCGCTTTTAGGTGTAAAAATTCACTCTCATCATTTTCCCAAACGCCCTAAAAGAAGTATAATTGCAAAAATATACAAAAATTCACTTTTTTTTTTTTTATTTTAAAGCTTACATAATTTTAAGATTATGTTTATTATTACAATATTGTGTAACTGTTTGTTGTTCCAAATAAATAAAATAAAAAAATTAAAATTGTCTGCACGGGTGAGATCTGCATTTTGATTCTTAATTGAGGATAGATGTTGATGAAGCATACATGCTGTGGCACATAGACATCAACATCTATCCTCCAGATCGAATTGTCACTGTCACAGCGACCAGTCTCAAGTAGCCATCTGCGCAGAACAGGATTATAATGGCGAATGTGTACAAACACAGGTTACTCTCTATTCTCTCACTCTCATAGTTATAGACAGAAGAGAGATCAGACGCAAGACCGATTAGATAGTGTACTATCATCAGGTGGATTTTATGCTCGTTTATCACCATTACTCTATAAAAAATTTTGGAACGAATTTCCTTATCGGGCGGTACGAATTTGACGGATGGGGGCTAGGCGAGAAAAAGTGTAAGATTTCCGTCACGACCCCTTCTGACGTAGTGTAGCAGCTTTAAGGAAGCGAGATGGAATAATATCCATCTCTCTCGCACTTTTTCTTGTCTTGCTATGAAATAAATATTATTTTATTTTTAAATGACGCTTCATTTTAATAGACGCTAGTTCTTTTATTTGTATTTGTTAATGAATAATATAATACGTTTATCAATAACAATATACTACGAAAGGAACTTCGTTCCAACGGATTGTTCCACGACACTCACGCATGATTTTTTTAAATATTTATAGCAACGTTTTTTAAACGTCAAATTAAGGGTATTCAACTTATTACTTACTCAATCATATGAAAAAGACGTATCAAATTTGGATATATTTGTAGCTACAAAATTAACAGTTTCTTCAAATCAACCTTCAAAAAATTGCTATTGTAAAGGCCAAAATATAAAATGAATGGTCTGCCATTTTTTCAATCATACGTCACGCGTGAAAAATAAATATTGCGCATGTTGTATAGCAATTATTGTATTTAATGTTTATTTTGAATGCCCCGTTGGTCTAGTGGTCGTAAACGCGGTTAATGTTGAGGTCCAGGGTCCGAATCCCGAGTCGGGGCCAAAATCAGTTCTTAGGTTTTTCTGTCAAAAAATCTTAATAACAGCCCGGAGTCAGGAAGTTGACTGTGTTTAACCCCTGTACCTTGGAAAGCAGGTAAAGCCGTAGATTCTGCGCCTGACCTCTCTCCGGTCGTGTTGAATTACCGTCCCATCGGACTATAGGAGTGAGGAAATAGAGAGTGCACCTGTGCTTGCGTATACACTCGAGCACTATAATCCTGTTCCGAGGTGATGGTTAGTCTCCATTGAGACTGGCCGCCGTGACCGAAATTTGGTCTGGAGGGTATTATTAATATTGTTTCTTTTTTTCGTGTTTTTTTTTTAAAAAACGTTACCCCCACGCTAGGATTTTGTCCTGTATCGTGGAGGCAGTTTACAAACACATATTGCACATGGACAAACATCCAGACCTGGAACAATTATTTGTAGGCGATACAAATACTTGTTCCGTGCGAGATTCGAATTCGCGGCCCCAAGCATTGCAACTCATTGCTATGCCGCTACGCCACGGAGCCGTCAAATGTGTTATTATTAATGTTTACTTTGATTTGTTCTTTCTTAATTAGACGAGATTCCTTCTGGATGCGCTGCGGCCTTAAAATGCACCCCGATTGAATACTGCACAGCTGATGGAGTAATTTCCAACACCACCGTAATTCTCACCAAGGATCAAGAAGCTTACAGAGTTCCTCTTACTGTAAGTACGAGTCATCTTGAGCGATCGGTTATGATCTTATTTGAATAGATTAATTTGTATGTCGTAGAGCCACGCTGCAGCTATATTAGGGTTGCAGCACTAATGGTTTGTCTCGAACGGAGAAGGACTACGCTCTCACAGAATACTAGCGTAAAATTGACCCTTTTTACTGGAGGCATTCCATCTTAGTCCAGGTGACAATGCATTTACATAATGAATTTTAATCGAGTGAAAGTAGAAATTGTAATTTGAATGTCATCACATTAAAAGTGAATAGGGTTTTTGTTACGCTGAGACAGTGCTATACCATCTTCAGGTGCATCACCACTTACCATTAAGTGGTGTTAAGTAATAAATTTTATAATGCATACTGTATACAACATAATTTATGTTACCTTTGCCTGCCATAAAAAAAAATTGTTCTACTCTTTGCCACTTGGTCTGTTTTTTTTTATATCTATGCCTCCCGAAAAAAAATTGTCATGTCATTAGCGTTTATTACTCTATGTGTTTTACGTTAATACATAATCATTGAGGAGTTTTTGGCGGGAAATTGACCGGCGGCGGTTTGCTGCTCCTGTATTATTGTTTAAATAATGGTTTGAAGTGGACTTTGATATGTAAAAGTGTTGCGATTTTGTGTATTAAGTGTCTACGCATGTGAACTATTAGTGGAAACAGTGAAACAAGTGCTCTGATGGTGATGGATTCTCAAGATAAGCTGTTTGTTTGCATAGGCACCTTTAGATACCATCGCCAACTATCAGCTGGCTGCTGGAACAAGTTGCCGCCAAAATCTCCCAAGAACTGCACAATGTGACGCATCAACATATTGTGAAGCAGTATACTATGAAGGAGTGGGGAAATTACAATAAACCGAATAAAAATACTTAAGACTTGGCCTAAAGGTCTAGATACCAGGCCATAAACTCCAAAAAAAAAATACATAATCATTGAGTTATATGTATAACGTACTAGAGAAACCATTCCAAACAAAAATTGTGTCCTACTCTATGTATTCGCGCATGCGCGGCAGGAGTAGTTGCGCATGCGCGAAGACTTTAATTTGATATAAAATAAGATATTAATATAAAATTAATATAAGGATTTAATAAAAAATATCTTAATTTAATCTAAACAAACATATTTCTAAATAAAATGTTATAATAATTATTTTGTGGAATTCACAAATCTTCAATTTACGCAAAATTTAGTTTGTATGGATTGCACTACAGTTCAGTTGAACATAGTCAATGTTCGGAATGGCTTCTCTAGTACGTAGTACATATAACTCAATGTACATAATAGAATTAAACAGTTTAATTAGAAATCTTACTCAATATTATTATTATTTTTGATCCCATAATAATAAGTGGGATAATAGCAAGCACTGGCTTATAATGAATAACAAAAAATAAGATACGCGATTCACCTCTCAGCGAGGCATTATCAGGACAAATAGATCAGAGATAGCTAACCTACATAGCGAAAACTTATCTTAAAATTTTAAATATATTTTTGACCGACGTCAAAAAATGAGGTGGTACTCATTTCGACTGTATTTTTTTATGTGTGTTACCTTTTTTTCTTAACTTTTTTCTATGTGAACCGATTTTGATGATTATTTTTTTATTTGAAAGCTGGTGCTTCTCATATAAGTTTGATCAAGATCTGACCAGTAGTTTTTGAAATATCCTTAATAATGCTTATTTTATTTATAATGAAGTCGATTGTACAAAATTTTTAATTTTACCACATGTTTGTCTTCAATATTCTATTGATTTAAAAAATTAAAACAGGACTGCAAAGACCTTGAAACGAACCGCGTTGGAAAATGCTGCCGTGATCCAAACTACAGCGATCCATGGCCGACTAACCAGCTTGGTAAATGGGTGCCCGGTGTGTTCGGTGGCAACGATGGCAAATACGTTCCCGACAACCGTGGCAGCCCTAACAATCCTAGACCACAGGTTACGCAAAAGCCCTTCGTCACTGGAAGCACTATTCTAAATAACTTTAGGTAAGAAAATTTTAAAGAATTACATATAATCTTTATTTTTATACATGGTAAAGTCATGCTGCACCTATCTGACCTATGCTGACCGGGAAAGGACCAAGCTCTCACAGATTATCAGCGTAACATAACAGCTTAATGCTACTGTGCTTAGTATGTTGAGTGTAGAGAACCAGACCCTTTTTACTGGAAACGAGCAAATCGATCTTGGTTCTCAGAGATGACATTGCATCTGTATTTAGATTCTTAATCAAGGATAAATGTAAACGTCTATGGGCCGCAGCATCCACATACCTTCAGGTGGACTGTGTACTCGTTCGTCACCCTTATTCTATAAAAATAAAACGGCGTCCGTCTTCCCTGTTGTACCAAATTCAGCAAAACTAACACCTTATGAAATTACCTGTGTGTGTTGTTTGTTTGTCTGTCTGTGAGTTACAAGGTTTTTCTCTGTGATTGTTTCAATTGTGTAATTGAAATTTCGTATACTTATACATATAATGTAGTTATCAACAAATATAAGCGAGGTTTTCGAATTAAGGCATAAATTTTGGGGGAGAAGAGGGTAAAAGGGGAACTTGAAAAAAATCTCGCGCGGAATACTACTAATGTAGTATGCTTGATCCCAAACTATGATCAAGCTTGTAGTGTTTATTGAGGAAAGCCTATGTTCAGCATTTGATCTCTACGAATTAATGAAGAATAAAATGGGTATAAACCAGGACTTAGGTAGGGAATTTTACACATTCTTTCGACTCAAACTTTATTAAAGTGCATATTTTTTTGTAGGAATCCAAAACCGACTTCACCAACATTTGGAGCGAACCAAGTGACACCAGGTTACCCAGATCAAGGTGGGCAAACCTCAACGGGCATTAAACAAGTGTCTCAGTACGGTCAAGGGCAATACAGTAAGGGTGGTACTGGTCAATTCGGTCAAGGTGGTGTTGGACAAGTAACTCAAACAGGCGTTGGACAATACGGTCAGAAGGGTGTAGGTCAGGTTGTCCAAACCGGTGTTGGACAGTTTGGACAAGCCGGCTTCGGACAAAAAGGACAGGTTGGCTTTGGGCAATTTGGTCAAGCCGGTGTTGGAAAGTTTGAACAAGGGGGAGTAGGACAATACACCCAAAGTGGATTCGGACAGTACTCTCAGGGAGGTCGAGGACAAGTCATTAGTCAAGGTAATCTACTAACAATCTTTGGTTACTCATTGCTGTCCAATTAATAACCTTTAGGTACTTGTTTTTGTGTCAGTAACACGTGGAACATGCATGAACCTAATATTTTAAAAAAGATTAAGTGAAACTAATTTTTCGCATTTTATCCCATTTAATTCAAATTAATAATTTTTAATTTTAAAAAGGTAAAATTAAACAGGATGAAATCCATAATATTATTTTCTTTTAATGTGTAGTATTCGCGTAAATATAAGAAATAATTATTAAAAAAAATCCTAATTAGAAATTTTAAACTAAATTAACTAAGTTAAGCACCTAATATATATTAATTATAATCAACTTTATTTCATAATAATTATTTAATTTAACATAAAACTTTTCTTAAAAAGCAGTGTGAAATTGTGTTCCATACTAATGAATCCACTTCAATGCAGGTACAGGTCAATTGACCGTCCAAGGTCAAGGTCAGATTGGCGTCCAAGGACAAGGCGTTGGAATCAGTCAAGGAGGGGTAAGATATTAAAATTTTTTTCTAACGTTAAAGTTCTAATGGCCACTACGACTTACCCACCTGCTAGTATCTGAAGCTAACACCTCACGACCTTTATTATTGTGGTAGCCATACTCTTCAAACCGGAAAACAATAGAGAATGCACTCATTAAAAGCAGCAGAAATAGATAAGAGTAGGCTTTTTTTTAATTAATTTTATAACTAGATTATTTTTCAAATTAATTTAGAATTGTTCAACCTGATCAAAACTACTGCATCAACCATCACAAACCACATTTCTACTGGGTTTCTTGCTGGTTCTTCCCATAACAGATTTTTCCCGAAAAAGTGGTAAAAGTAAAATTATATGGAATTATATGAAATATATGTCATTATATTCTAGTGTGTTACTTACTCAGACGAAATTTAACGTTAATAAGAAGCTCTACCCTACCATCTAATGTGAGTCACAACATCCTTATGATATAAAATCTATTTGATGGGATACAGGAAATATTATAAATTACAGACGTGGTACATGAAGAGGCTCCAAATCAATTTTCAATCAGCCCTACAGCGAAGACATAATATTTTATTTGTGGAGGCGTGAATAGATCCCGCTCGAAGGACCAATGCTAGATGCATTGGTCCTTCGAGCTGGATCCTTCTCCATAAGAGACCTATGTTCAACAGTAGTCTCCGATGGGCTGTAGTAATAGTAATAGTGATTTTAAAACTAAATTTTTATCTCTGAAAATTGATAACGCAATTTTTGGTTTTCTATGTATAAACGTTTACTTTATTCTCTCTGGCGTAGAAAGTAGTTTACGATATCCGCAGCTGTAATGGCAATATCTTGGTATTTTACTAGTTTCGATACTAGTAGACCTCCTTTCTTGTCTAAGAGTCCTTTTGGGTTAGTACCATCGTCTTAATTAATTATAACGCCAAACAATGAGTTATATTGGTCGGGACGGTTAAAAGTGAGGGAATGGAGAGTACATTTGTACTTGCGCATTCACTACAGCACTTGCATCGTGTAGTGGCGGTTAAGAATATCCACTACCCCATATCTTCCCGTGGGTGTCGTAAAAGGCAACAAAGGGAAACAGGCAGGAGATGGGCAGCAGCATCTTCCTGATAACAGCAAAATACAATGAAAAAAACTGCGATTGCCAACCCGCTCGCCAAGCGTGGCAACTATGGCAATACCCCCCCCCCCCAAATGGATAAAGTTACAAAGAGACGGCCCCCAGTCCCCGGCGGCCCCGCTATTCCTGATTCCTGACTACGGTGGCGACCATGGTAACGGCGGGGCAGGGGGTGCTAAGAATCTCCGGTGGAGGTTCGATGGCCACCTACGACGACTCGATCTGGCAACATACAACGCACGCACCCTGAGGACTGACGAGAAGATTGTGGAGCTGGAAGAAGAGATAGACAAGTTACGCTGGCATATTATAGGATTATCCGAAGTCCGAAGAGAGGGGAGGAAACGGTAATCCTGGAATCCGGCAACTTGCTCTATTACCTGGAGGGCGACCATCTGTCCCAAGGAGGTGTCGGATTTATCGTCCACAAGTCTCTCGTTAACAACGTTGTAAAGATTTAGAGTGTGTCGACGAGAGTTGCGTACCTTATACTCAGAATCACCAAACGGTATTCGCTGAAGGTCATACAGGTTTACGCACCAACATCGGCACACTCCGATGAGGAGGTGAAGGAAATGTATGAGGATATCTCTAGAGCCATGCATTCCTACAAAACCCTATATACGGTGTTAATGGGAGACTTCAATGCAAAATTAAGCACAAGAGAGAATGGTGAGCTGAAAGTAGGGAAATTTGGAATAGGGCAACGGAACCCAAGGGGCCAGCAGCAGGCCGACTTCATGGAGAAAGAGCGACTCTTTATGATGAACTCTTTCTTCCAGAAGCGGTCCCACCGGAATTGAACCTGGTCGAGCCCCGACGGTTCGACAAAATTGAGATTGAATTCATTATGACGACCAGACGACAACTGTTCAGTGATGTCTCAGTGATCGCGAGGGTGAAAACTGGCAGCGATCACCGAACGGTTAGAGGCACACTGAACCTAAATATTAAGTTGGAGAGGTCTCGTCTAATGAAGTCAACGCTCCGGCCCCCTCATGCTCTGATCCAAAGTCCCGAAACCTTTCAGCTCGAGTTACAAAACCGTTTTCAGTGCCTAGAAGACTGCAATGAAGTGGACGATATGAATGACAAGCTCGTGGAAACTGTCCATGCGGTCAGAGCTAAGTTCTGCAAGACCCGCCGCAGAAGAATACAAAGATCTCCGATCAAACTCTTAATCTCATGGCTGTTAGACGGGAAATGAAGCTACATTCTTCAACAGATTTGACAGCATACAGGCAACTGAACAGACAGATCTCCAAATGCATGCGGCGGGACTTACGCAACTTCAATACAACTCGTATTGAAGAAGCGATCGAGCGGAACCAAGGCTCCAAAGTCTTTGCCAGAGATCTATCTGCCAGAAAGAGCCAACTGTCAAAGCTGAAGACCGAATGTGGCAGCATCGTTTCCGGGGCACCTGAGATTTTGAGTGAGCTGATGACATACGGAACTGAGACGTGGTCCTTCACTTCTGGCCGGATGAGGAAGCTCAAGGTCGCGTCAGCGAGCTATGGAGAGGCTATGCTCGGAGTTTCTCTGTGTGATAATCTCAGAAATGAGGATATCCGCAGTAGAACCAGAGTGACCGACATAGCCCAACGGATTAGTAAGCTGAAGTGGCAATGGGCCGGCCATATAGCTCGAAAAACCGACAACCGATGGGGAAAAAGGTTCTCGAGTGGCAGCCTCATACCGGCAGGCGAAGTGTTGGGCGTCCCCCCACTAGATGGAGTGACGACCTGGTAATATATGCAGGAAGTCGATGGATGCCGGTGGCTCAGGACCGTGCTTTGTGGCATTCCTTGGGGGAGGCCTATGTTCAGCAGTGGACTTGTGAATCATCATCATCATTACAGCACTATTATCTACGTTGAGGCTAGTCGCCGTGACCGAAGTTAGGCCTGGAGTACATTATACTGGTTAATAGGTTGAAAGATATGCCAAGTCAGTTTAGGTACAGACTGCGAAACATTCAATCTTTATCTTAAAGCTAGTTTCAGGTGTCTATTGGTCGCAGTAGTCACTTACAACCAAGTGTTACTGCCAACTCTTGGACAGATTGTAACTCTATAAAATTTTCTACTTTTTATTTTTGGAGCTTTAGAGATATGTCAGCCAGATTGTTTCTACTTTTATTTGGGGCTTTAATCTTTAAACTACCTCGGTCTAGTGATCGTAAACGCGATTGCTGATCATAAGGTACCGGGTTCGAATCCCGGGTCAGGTCCCAATCAGTTATTGGCTTTTTCTGCCAAGTAATTCTCAGTAGGAGCCTGGGTTACACTCACATGGTATACATTTAGAAGTAAACATACAACATACAAGATAAAGGAAACATTAATAAATATAAAACGCCGATGTCAGATTCCGACTAAGCGTATGCCGCAGGTACCGCAGCAGCACTGACTTTCAGCGCAGCCTCGGTTAATATTCTTAATGATTTATATTATGTCTAAATATCTATAGTGTCTTACTTGTCACCAGGGCGCGATCGTTTCACAAGGACAAGGTCAATTTGTAAAGCAGGGTGAAGGCCAAGGCACCAAATTTGGCGTGGTCACCCAAGGGTTCGGGCAGCGCGTTGAAACCGGCGGTGGACAGTACACTGAACAGGGTGGAGGCCAGTACACTCAGCAGGGTGTGGGACAAGCGACAGTCCAGGGCGGCGGCGTAGGAATTCGTCAGGGTGTGGGCCTCGCGGTCTCCCAGGGTGTGGGCTCCGGCGTGGAGAACGAGTACAGCGCGTCCACTCGCAGGGTTTACCTGCAGCGATACGATGGAACTGGCCAGTGTGGCATTAAGCATGTAAGTTACAAAATGATTTCTAAAACTTAAAAAATATTTTACATGGTAGAGACATGCCGTAGTTATATTATGGTTGTAGCAAGACTGTGTCCGTTCAACCGGGAAAGGACCACGCTCTCATAGAACCAGCGTAAAATAGCAGCTTAATGCTGTTGTGTTTCGTATGGTGAGTGAAGAGAACCAGAGACCCTTTATACTGTAATCGAGGCAGTCCTCAGTGACAGGAGACAACGCATCTGCATTTTTATTCTTAATCGAGGATAAATGTAGATGGCTATGGGCCCAGCATCCACTTGTCTTCAGGTGGACTGTATGCTTGTTTGTCACCCTTATTCTATAACAATTCAATCAATTTACACTTATTTTATAAACTATTCGCATGAGTTGTATACGCATTAATTTTAAGAACCTATTTTCATTAACTTCCAACGGAGTTCATAACTCCTAGTACAAGTTACAAGCCTAAGCTGAAGTGTGATCTTTAATATGATAGGTTGATTGCATAATTTAGGTTTGTCGTATAGTGGCGGCGTTTTCACGTGGTACAGCCATGCTGCAGCTATATTAGTAGTATAGTTGTAGCACGAATGGGTCGGCTCGACCGGGGAAGGACCACGCTCTCACAGAACACCAGCGTAAAATAGCAGCTTAATGCTGCTGTGTTTCGTATGGTGAGTGTAGAGAACCGGAGACCCTTTTTACTGGAAAAGAGTCATTCCATCTTAGTCCTCACGGGTGACAACGCATCTGCATTTTGATTCGCAAACAAGGATAAATGTAGATGTCTATGGGCCGCAGCAACCACTTACCATCAGGTGAACTGTGTGCTCGTTTCTCACCCTATCCTATAAAAAAAGAGAATCCACTAGCTTATTTCATGCCATGGGTGTCGTAAGAGAAGGCAGAAAGAAATAAAACAGGAGATGGGCAGCATCACTTTCTTGATAACAACCCTTAATATTAAACTGCGGTTGCCAAGCCTTGTACTTAGGACTAGCGCAGCAAATATAGCAAATATTGAGTAATCTATGTGGGAGTTCCATGTTCAATAGTGGACTTTTAATAGGCTGCAATGCTAATGATGAAAATAACAAGCTGTAGTAGCCGGGATAAACTATGATTGTATGCTGTAAAACACCCAAAACATTGGGAAATGAAAAACAGTTATATTTAAATTTCTCCGTGGTTTAAATCGACCAGGAGAACATCAACATTAAGAGAAAAGCGTCAGGTATAGTAGAAAGTCGGTATTAGGATCGAATCAAATTCAAGTACAATTTTATATAAACATATAGATATGCATTACATCCCCAAGGTCGTAAGCAGAAGTCAATGAGCAGCGAGCCACTCGGACCACGTTTAGTCAAAAAAACATGGGTGTAGATAGCCTACTTTCAGTTGACAGTTTAACTAAACGGCGCCGTTCAACTAGCGGCCTGAATGATATTCAGCCGAGGCTTCTAATAGATAATTTAAAATTAAAAATTTTGTACTGCCGTCTTCAATATAAGTTATTAAGAATAACTCAATAACTATTGGTCTGACCTTGGTCAAATTCATATGGGACCACACGAGAAGTACCACCTTTCAAATAAAAAAGAATCATCGAAATCGGTTCACCCAGTAAAAAGTTATGAGGTAACACACATAAAAAAACATACAGTCGAATTGAGTACCGTCTCCTTTTTGGAAGTCGGCAGAAAATTGCACATATGTTGAAATATTAGTGACAGACGTTAAGATGCGACTGGAATGGCCCTTGGGCTATTAGGCTATACGCGTACAATTAGGCCCTTGGATCACCCTAAAGCCGGGTAAAGCCGGGACCTAAGGGCCACCGCAGCCGCAACTTAACCTACTGGCACTGAGGCCGCTAGTTGAACGGCGCCGTTTATTAAAAAGGCTAGGCTGTTAACTGAAAGTCTAATTAGGCTAGTTGTAGCGACATATATATACACTTTTATCTTTGAGTAAATTTAGCCTCTGCTTAAAATTTCAACTTGTATATTAAATATAATATAAATAATGATGATTTCAAAGAATATAATAAACGTTGCAAATCAGATTATGCTAAACGAGTTATACAATCTATATTATTCCAATGGATATAAATAAAAAAAATATTACAATAAAACAAATTGCTAGCGAAATGCCAAATGATTACATCATGAAATCACACAGGCTAAGGTTCAAAGTCAATCAGTTTACAAATCAGATAGTAAATTATGTTACATAAATCAGACATTATAGCATACGTTAAATAATATAAATAATATATAGCCTTAGGAGAAGTAATTAATAATCTCTTTTTGTACGTCATACATAAAGGTCGTAAAAGTATCTTTAGGCTCTGTACTCTCGAACGCAATAATTATTTTACGTCACAAGATGCCCTTCATTAGGGTTGCCAGACTAAAATTATATTTAATTTTTTAAGTTAGAATTTAACTTTTACTAAAAAGTAAAAGCCACCTTCAGAGAACTAAAAAGAATAACATACTTTCACATTCTGAAGTCGGGGCTAAGACACAGACTTTGTCTTCTGGCTTCTGGTCATTGGTTGCTCCAGTTGAAGTAAAGATTTGTCTATATTGTCACGCTTGTACTTGTTTAATTCTGACGTTGTTCATCATCGCCAATATGACTATTTATATCTGGCAACATCCATCCATTACAACCTAAAAATCAACTGTTGAACACAGACCTCTTCCATAGATTGCTTCATAGGGAGGAAGTTTCCATAGTTGTCATGCTTGACGGGCGGGTGAACAACCACAGTTTTTTTTTTATTCGTTGTTAGGAGGACGCTGTTTCCCTCTGTCGCCTCCTACGAGATCCGCGGGATGATATGGGATAGTGGATATTCTTACACCGCCAATATTTATTGTAAGCCATGACATCTTTTTTGTATTTCCCACGATGCGCAAGAAACGAGTTGCCGTTTCGACTATCTGACGTCACCACTACACGACATGACTTCTCACGGCAACGCTTCCGATTATTAAAGATGATCAGAAAGCTGCTTAATTAACGATCGCGACTGACCGGATAAAACACCGGAATGCTTTTTTATTTTTTAATGTAGCCGCTTTTTATTTATCACTTTTAAATCGATAAACTATGTCCATAGTCCATACTCATAAATCCTAATTAAATAAAAATAACGACATGCAATATCTTTAATAAAAAAAATTGTTTGTGATTTTAAATCTTATGCTTTTGTAAGAACCGTAGAGCAATCGCCTTCACAGGTTAAGGAAAACTTGTTACAACAGCGTTATTCATTATTCCAAATTATGTTTTTAATCTGCAACCAGAAGTGTGTCCAAACATCGCATAAATATTAATCACAATCAGTAAAATAACAAACTCGGGGTTTCCAATCAACATGTTGTTTTATCATATTAATTAATATTAATGGTATGTATATGAAATATTTACAACATCAATTAATACAAGGATGCGAAGCTTTCTCGTCTTAATACGACAAAAATTATTGTAGTTTTGGTCATAATCTATACAAATAAATAAAATTGAAGTGTCTGTTTGTAATGTCAAAATTACAGTTTTTTTACTAAATGCATATGAAAACAAATACGGTACTTATAACTAAAATACAATTTTTTAAATTTTTGTCTGTCTGTCTGTCTGTTTGTTCCGGCTAATCTCCGAAACGGCTGAACCGATTTTGACGGTACTTTCTCTGGCAGGTAGCTGATATCATAAGGAGTAACTTAGGCTACTTTTATTTTAGAAAAAGAATTAGGGTTCCGCGCAAAAACATAAAACCCTAACACGCGAGCCAAGTCGCGGGGAACAGCTAGTATAAAAATAAATTTAGTATTTTGAATGCAAATTCTTCTTAATAACTGGCTTTACGGCTCTGGGATCTAGCCCTTCTGAGTTTGAATGCAAAGGTTTGTAATTAACATAGAGTAAGTGGGGTTCTTCCCTCTAAAATTTGATGAAAAAGATACAAATGACAATTAGCGATGCTGCCTTAGTTCCTACCTTAATGTATGTAGGGTATGATAGAAGAACCGAGAGATTAAATTTAAGGCTGACTCTGTATGACAGGGTGAGAAATTGTGTGATAAAAGAAGTGTTATTTATACGTGGTAGGTAGTGCCACGCTGCAGCTATATTATGGTTGTAGCATGACTGGGTCGGCTCGACCGGGTAAGTACCACGGTCTCATTGAATACCAGTGTAAAATAGCAGTTTAATGCTGCTGTGTTTCGTATGGTGAGTGTACAGAACCGGATACCCTTTTTACTGGATACGAGTCATTCCATCTTAGTCCTCAGGGGTGATAATGCATCTGCATTTTGATTCTTAAGTGTGGAGAAATGTAAATTTCTATGGGCCACAGCATTCACTTACCATCAGGTGAACTGTATACTCGTTTGGCACGCTTATTGTGTAAAAAAAAAGTTTACTAGAAGATATTGTGACCAGAATTAAGAAAACAATGTTTCGGTGGTTTGGACACGTAGAAGGAATGAATGAGAAAGTGACAAAGCAAATGTATGCTGCAAACGTGAGCGGCAAAGTCGGCAAGCGATGCCGAAGTTAATCAACCAAAATGACGATATATTGAAGATGAATCAAATTAAAAGTACCCATAACGACGAACAAGTATGCGTAGATATATAGATGAGTATGAAGCAAGAGGTGTGTCAAGATCGTACCAAATGAAATTCCACAGTCTCTGCCTACCGGTCTGGATAACAAGCGTGAGAGTTTATGCACGTTATTTATTTTAAAATTAACACACTTAAACAAAGAAACATGCATATTATGACAATCACTATGCGGTATGCATCAAAGTTATAATATTAATCTTACTTAAAACATAAGGTTATTGAACTTATACGAAGTTTGTTCACACCGACATCAATAAAAATTCACCAATTAATTATAAATGCTCTAATTATACAACAAATGGTCCAATTCCGTAAATTAAATCGTCAAAATTTCCAAATGAGGCTATATTTTATCTGTTGTCATCTCCGTGTATAAAATATTACACACGGAGACACGAAAACATCTCTTTAATGGCCTGTCAAAAAAACCGGTTGGGCGTCGACAGCTGATTGACTAATAGAGAAAATACGTTCAGAACATTGAAGTAATATTTATTAAGTACTAGAATAGATTTTTACGTGGTAGAGCCTACTCCTTTTTAAAAGGCCGGCAACGCATCTGCAATTCCCCTGGTGTTGCGGTTGTTCATGGGCGGCGGTAGTCACTTACCATCAGGTGAGCCGCATGCTCGTTTGCCCCCTCTCCTATAAAAAAAAAAAAAAAAGAGTCATGCTGCAGCTATATTAGTAGTATAGTTGTAGCACGAATGGGTCGGCTCGACCGCGGAAGAACCACGCTCTCACAGAATACCAGCGTTAAATAGCAGATTAACACTGCTGTGTTTCGTATGGTGAGTGTAGAGAACCGGAGGCCCTTTTTACTGGAAAAGAGACATTCCATCTTAGTCCTCACGGGTGACAACGCATCTGCATTTTAATTCGCAAACGAGGATAGATGTAGATGTCTATGGGCCACAAAAACCACTTTCCATCAGGTGGACTGTGTGCTCGTTTATCACCCTATCCTATAAAAATAAAGATACTTGCTGCGAACAAAATCTATGTGAGAGTGTGGGACGGGTAAAAGAGCAAAAATAATAATTTTTCTTAATTAAGATTTTTTGGCTTGGAGGCTTGTCCTTTAAGCCATATCTTCACTTCATCGAAGTTAAATAGGAGATAGATACAAGAAACAACGGACAAAAATGATAAATGTTTATTTGACAGAAAACAACTGTAACTCATTGAATTATCCGTTGGTATCCATACTAGGAAATCCTGTATCGTAGGTACCCATTTAGCATTAACAATCTATGTTTAGTTTTCGCTTGGTTTACTTAAACACAAAGTTTAAATTTAAATTTTAAAAACTAGTGTACAAATGAGAAAGTAATAAGCTTGAGTAACAGTTAGTGAAAAAATTGGCCAAAATACCTGACTCTATCTCTATTACTACTCTATCATTAATAAGTTTCTTTATTTAACAGATATTACCTTATCCTGTATATTAAGTAAGAAACCTGTTATTACCATCAAGTGTTATTTAAGAATTTTTATATAATTATTACGTAGTTCCGCGATCAATAAAACAATAAATAAAAATAAAATGTTCGTTTTTTCAATTCAAACTTGCTTCGAAATATGTTGACTGGAATTTACTTACTTACCTTGAATGACACCGGCCTACGAATCCAGTTACAAGTAAATATATTATTACCATATTTATGGCATGTAAATTTATTAGTTATAAAAAATGAATAAAAATGAGATAGAGTCGCAATCATTGACAAAATTAATTCATACATAAGACGAGTGATAGTCTGTTGACGAAAATCAATCATATGATAACATCCATACGCCATCTGAAGTGGATCCTACGTAGGTATATAGAAACGGGGTCGCTAAGCCAGACCGGCAATTTCAAGCCACCTCAGCCAAATGGGTTTGAGTGACCAAGCAAAAACTAACTAATGATTATAATAATAAAAACAGTTGCTTTCCCTTTTCTCCTAACCCTCGGCCGTTTGGTCTATCCTCCCGAGGACTCCCGTCTAGTTTGGTTTTTATTTATTTATGTATTATTTATTTATTTTACTATATTTAATATATATTTATATATAATTCTCGTTTTATTTTATCTATTTATTCAGCCCAACCAGTTGAGAATACTATAAAACTAAAAAAAAGTCCCGCTGGGTTTCTTACTGGTTCTTCCCAGAACATAGGTTTTTTTCGAACCAGTGGTAAAGTAAAAAATAACTTTCAATAAGAATTACAAATGTGATCTATATTGAATAAAAAATCATTCTATTCTATTCTATATAAATACCCATAGTAATAATAATAATAATATTTACTTTATTTGCTCTCACAAATTTACATTGCCTTCTATATAATACTATTTGAGGTATAACCAATTTCATTCGTGAGAGCCTAGTGTTATTAAACTAGGTATCTAGGAAAGACCTGTATGAATAATCACCAGACTCTCGTCTGTTAATGTAACTTAACAATACAACTTGAACTTTGAACATACTTCGTGCGACATTAACATTTGTAAATATTGTTTTTTTTTTTAATTAAAGTTATAATAATTAAACTAATGTACACATTCTAATCCAGGAAGCCTATCGCCTCTGAACTAACACAACCCATTGTACCAATTGGGGTTTAAAACAAACCCTAAAGACTTTTAAATTTACTTCAGATCTTTGATTATATAACATATATATAAGAAGAGATCTTTCAGTAAAAAAGAGCTTGTAAATCGCTCGAAAATGCAGGTTTTCTAAATACCCCGGAATATGTTGCCAATTTTAGTACCCCTCGGAATTAGGTACCTTTACCTTAATTGTAACATAGTTTGTAAAAAAAATAATGTTATTGTTTTTAATTTAATTAATATCTTAATTAATAAATGTTGTCATTTATTAGACAAGGATACTTTTCAAACGTATAGAAGATTACATTATTCATCCTTAATATTCATTTAACAGGGCCAAAGACCGTACGGCAACCGTGAGGACGACGTGGCCTTCGCCGAGATCCCATGGCAAGCTATGGTACTTTTGCAGACCAACAAAAGCCTGCTCTGTGGTGGTGTGATCACCAGGCCCGATGTTGTCGTGACGTCGGCTGCTTGCGTCGACGGGTAAGATGGTGCATCTTTTTCTTTTATTATTTTTTCAGAAACGTTATCTCCACACTACGATGACCTCTTGTATCGTGGGAACAGTTTACATACTCGTATATACATTTCACAAGGACAAATATCCAAACACGGATCAATTATTTGTAGGCCAAACAAATACTTATTCTTTGGCCCTAAGGACTGCAACTCATTGCAGAGCCACTGCGTCATGGAGCCGTCATTAAACTATAACATTGCTTAAGCATTTTATTTTTACAGATTGGAAGCCAAGAACGTTCTCATCAAAGGCGGTGAATGGAAGCTCGGAATCGAAGACGAACCTCTGCCATACCAGATCGTCCAGGTCAAGACTATTGTAGTCCACCCAGGATATCAGACAGGCAGCCTCCAATACGATGTCGCTATTCTTTACCTCGCCGAGAACTTGAGATTGGCTGACAACATCCAACCCATCTGCATGCCAGATGCCAAGGACACCCTGGATGCGTTCTACAGCGGTGCTGGCCAGTGTATAGTGACCGGTTGGGGCAAGCAGGTCTTGCAAGGTAAGTTTTTTTGTAGTGTTTTTTATGGAATAAAGATAACAAACGAGCACACAATACACCGGTTGGCAAGTAGACGCTGTAGCCCATAGATATCTACATTTATCCTCCATTAAGAATCAAAATGCAGAAGCGTTGTCGCCCTCGAGGATTAAGATAGAAAGCCTCGTTTCCAGTAAAAAGGGTCTTCGGTTCTCTACACTCACCGTACGAAACATTCTGTGAGAGTGTAGTCCTTCATCAGTCAAACCAACCCATTTGTGCTGCAACTATAATAATATAGCTAATTAATTACATCCAGTGATTAATTCTTATTTGAAACCTCTAACCAACTATCAATTTTAATCATGTTTAATTGTTAACTGATATTGTAAAGAATTTTAAGAATTTACGTCATTGTTGTATGCACAACGAATATTGGAATTCTTTATCCACGTCTGTTTTCCCTGACGACTACAATTTGAGACTCTTCAAGGCAAGAGTGTTTATGCATTTTCTATGCTGACGTGTTTACCATCTAGAAACTTTTAAAATTTAACAACAAGGGCCTTCCTAACAATCTTGGCCAAACGTTGGCCATCAGTTTATCGAATAATCTAAATATATTATGTATTTGATAAAAAAAATCATAGTTTACATAACTCAACCTATTGACCTCCAGAAGCTTGAAAGAAACGTATTCATTACTACCAATGTTGCTGAGATGCTAAATTGCAAGCAAACTAAACCTGCGTCTTTATAAAATTTAATAAAACTTTAACTACATAGAAATAAAGTTCAAATTCCTTAAAAACACTTAAGCGCGCGAAAACTGTTACATCTAAAGATTTGACAACTTAATTTTGTGAAAAATCTTACAAAAATTTTATGACCATGTGTCAAACGCGAGAATATCCTAATTGAAGCGCCAATAGGTAAAGTTACACCTTTGTTCTTGAAAGTCGCGAATATTTTAAAATTTTCTTGAAGATATTTTTATCGCATAATTCAAAAGATGTCAAAGTCGATAGTCAAGATCCGCCCGCCGAACGCCGAAATTACAATGGCGGAGCCACAGAATATTAAACACCGGTTTAATAAAAGGTTTTTTTGTTATCGTGTAAATATATAAGAGAATAGTCTATAGAACATTATTATCTATGCATAGTGTAGTATTATTACTCAAATAAATGTCATGATTATTTTTAATAATAGTTTCTAACCGGCTTTGTAGAATCTCAATTGCACTGTACGTTCTTTCAACTTCTTATTCGGAAATTGATGCAAAAGTAAAATAAGATACAGTCTATACGTTTACTTCTGGGCACAAGTCTCGTCTCATTTCTGAGGGTTTTATGGCAAAGAAGTGTCAACCTCGCTGCCCCAATGCGTGTTCGCGGACTTCACAACATGTCTACGAAAAAAAATTTTTTTTTAATTTCACAGACATGCAGGTTTCCTCACGATGTTTATTGATTATCCGATTATTATGTTCCTCACGATGTTTATATATATCCGAAATAATCCGAATCTCAATATATCCCTACGTTTTATTAAGGTGTATAGAGTTGGATTATGCATCATTCAAAAGAATGTCTGTGAGAGTGTTTAACATTTCGTTCATATGTTTGTAATTCGTACGTTAGTTAAACTATTCAATTAATATAATAAGGATTAATTCTATTAAATTCTAATAAAGCTCGAAATTATTAAAAAACACAGTGAAACTAATACATACGTGTCAATACAATAATCAATAAAGTTGGAATTTAACCAACCGACAAACATTAAATATTACATAACATTGTTGTTTATAACATAAGTCATGTGTATAAAAATAAATTCCTACCTATGTAAAGCTTATCCGTATTATATAATTTACAAAAATTTGAATAGCCGTTAAATAAGCAATTAACATTATAAAATTCTTGATCCCGTGGTCAGTGTGTCAATTTTGTGTTCAATGTGTTCAAACATTTGTTAACCAAACTCGAAATTTCAGGTCATGGTTACAGATGTTAGATATTCATTATAAAGATTTTACGTTAACGAATTAAGTGTAGGTAATATTAAATTTTGTATTAAACTTGAGTAACACCCAATAGCTCTAACTCAGTTCACTGCCCCGATGTGTTATGGTTAACTGACTTCTTCAAAATGTGTTGGCGCACAGCGCAGGACCGGGAGATTCGAAAGGTGTTAAGAATTAGTTATCTATCTATACAAACGTATAATAAATCTGTAGAAAAATTGTGTGTTCACGATTCACTCAAAAACTACTGAACGAATTGCCATAAAATTTTGTATACAGGCAATAAATGACCGTGTATAACACATAGACAACTTTTTATCCGCTTACGGAAGAGTAAAAAAAGGGTTATATTTTTCCCTTTTCTTTTTGTCATAATGACTGCCGATGGGTCTAATAGCCCTAAAGAGGATATAGTTATACGTATAACAAGTCTATAGAAAGGTGAGTGTGTGACAAGATGTGAAATAAAAAAAAATTGTACAATCGACATCAATATAAATTATTAAGTTTAACGCAAAAACTATTGAGCAAACATTGATCAAATTTATATGAGAAGCACCCGCTTTCAAATAAAAAAAGAATCATCGAAATCGGTTCAACTAGAAAAAGTTATGAGGTAACACACATAAAAAATACAGGTCCAATTGAGCACCTCCTCCTTTTTGAAGTCGGCTAAAAATGAAAGTACTCGCGCCACCAACCAGTAAAAGCAGAATGACGCCTACCGGGCCAGCTATTTTTATATTATTTTTAAAAACTGCAACTCCGTGAAATGTAAAACGAGTGATACATAGTAAGTACCTAATATCTAAGTAATCTTCTTTTAAAAAGACAGGAACCCAGCAGCATATTTAAAAAAAAGAATAGTTAGCGTCATTATGTATTACGTTACACAATTAAGTATACAATTCGTATTAGAAAATAGCTTGGTAGCGACCATCTCATTGCCAGGAGTTATTGTTCATCCCAGGGGCGTAGCTACCGTCGTATCAGCCGTATCAATGATACGGGGCCCCCGGGCTACATAGGCCCCGAACGTATGTAAGCAAATATTCTAAGGACTTCTATGGGACAGGATGTTGGTTTGAATTGTTTGGCAAGCCTAGTTCCTAGGAGTATTACTTGTAAGTAATAACTTATAATCAATATATAATTATTTTAATTCAATGCGAGAGTTTTTGTTCCTTTTGTGAAAAATCTTTACCCTTCATTTGGGCCCCCCGACAAATTTTGATACAGGGTCCCTCTAAGGCACGGTACTCTACTGGTTCATCCACAAATTCCTTAATATTATAATAACCCTTTTTATACGATCTTTGCTTGAAAAGCTGCCTAAGAATTGATAAAAACAATATAGAAAATAATTATATAGATAAATAAATGAGATACGCGTTATAAAATAAAAAGATGTAATATAATGGATTTCCGCAAAGTAACGTCTGATTCTATTAAAATTTTATTAAACTTCATTGAAAGAGTAAGATTTAACTGAACCTTAAACCGGTTGAATTTATAAAACACTGATTGGGTAGTTACGCATCTGCCGACCAACCAAAACTTGTAAACAGAATTTATGGAAAAATGAAAGTGTACATGCGAGTGTCGGCCATTTTGAGGTCACTGTCGGCGCAGTAGCGACAACATATTAATATCTCGAATTTTATCACTACCATTACATTATATAATTATTGGTTACGCGGTAGAGCCATGCTGCAGTTTCATATATATATATATAGCTGCAGTACGCACGGGAAGACTCGATCGGGGTAGAACCGCGCACTCGCAGAATATCATCGTAAAATAGCAATGGTGAGTGTAAAGAACTGGGGACCCTTTTTACTGGAAATGAGACAGTTCATCTTAGTCTTCAGGGCTAACAACATTTTGATTCTTAATCTAGGATAGATGTAGACATCTGTGGACCACAGCATCCACTTACCATCAAGTGGACTGTGTACTCGTTTGTTATCCTTATTCATACTTTTTTCTGAAAAAACAAAACTGCATCGTCATTTCAGTCATTGCATTTCATTGTCATTGTATTACCGGTTTGGGGAAAACCTTTTTAGTGGGAAGAACCGACAAGAAACAATATAATATGTTGTACGAGTAAAACAAAACTATTTCCGATTCGAAAGTGATTGACCAATTGATCATAAAATGTAATGGTGGACATAAACTTTTAATTTAAAATATATGTTTTTATTATAATTTGCGTATAATTCAGCAAAGTTTTGAAAACTGGCAACATTGTCGTTGACGTCGGTATCTTTGAATGATTTGAATAACTTTATCTAGATAGATGTCATCCCGCTGGGTATACTAGTCACTAGTCTGATCATCATCATTACAGCCCTTCACAAGTCCACTGCTGAACATAGGCCTCCCCCAAAGAATGCCACAAAGCACGGTCCTGAGGCACCTGCATCCATCGACTTCCTGCATATCTTACCAGGTCGTCACTCCATCTAGTGGGGGGACGCCCTACACTTCGCCTGCCGGTACGAGGCTGCCACTCGAGAACCTTTCTTCCACTAGCCGTGTAGTGGCGGTTGAGAATATCCACTACCCCATATCTTCCCGTGGGTGTCGTAAAAGGCGACAAAGGGAAACAGGCAGGAGATGGGCAGCAGCATCTTCCTGATAATAGCCAAAATAACAATAAAAAAAACTGCGGTTGCCAACCCGCTCGCCAAGCGTGGCAACTATGGCAATATACCCCCCATGAGCAATGACTAGTCTGATACTAATGATTAATTCGTGATGTATTTTTTTACAAACACTACCTTATTCCCATTGAATGTGAATTTAAAATAAAATAAAAAATATGCATGCAATGAATACACTATTAGTTGGCCTTAGGAAACCAGTTATATTCTTCTTTAATTGATAGACCGTTCGTGTCAGACATTTTCTCGCTAATTAAAAATCTATATAAAAACTTTTTGTTAGCAATTGCGTACAAGATATAACAAAAAAATTAATAATGCGA